TAACTGAGACTGCGCCTTTTAGTACGGTGCGCCTTATTCATGGTTAGACTAATTATTACTTCCCAGTGATTAATCTAAATATTTTTAGATTTTTTTTTATAAAAACATCCCAATCTTAATATATTTTTGATATTAATCATATAACTAAAGGATTTTAGTAAAGAAAAGTATATTAACATTTTAACCATGTATGAGGCAATTAATTCATTATGAAATTCTTTTAAAACCTTTTAGAGACTTTTACATTGAAAAGCAACAACAACATTTATAAGACAATCTGCATAAAAAGAGAGGCCCCAATAAACCAGCCCTTTTTTAAACAGATGCTATTTTTTTTCTTATTAACCACATTAGTTACCTGCAATGTAGTACTTTGCTTTTTCAGAAGAGCCAATCCTACGTCTGTAGTCATCGTTCAGCTTCACCTGACAGATGTTTGCACCACGACACTTCGGCAGGGAGGGGTTGGTGATGCCGGACAGCTGGATGTGGTAGATGTAACGGTCGCCATTGGTACGGATGTCGCCAGAAGCCTGATGTGGGCTGAAGCAGATAAAAATATTGTTTTTCTTTTTAGGTTTTAGTAAAGGTTGTGTGCAGTTTTTGGTATAAAACCATCCATTTAAAGCAGGACTCAGAGTTTTTCCAAGATTAGCTTGATAAACTGTACAAAAGCTTCTCCTCGAACAAAGGAAACAAGACTTGATTGAATGTAGTTAAGGCCATAAAAGGGGGAAACTAGCTTTATGTTAACCTTAAAATTCTTTACCATGCAACGATTGAAGACTACTGACTTGGTAACGAACTGCATGACCTGAGAAAACTCGAATAAAATCATATGAACCAGCGTTTGAATTAAGCACAGGGCAGTCTAATATTCTCACAGAATAATTACAGATAACAATATCCTGGCTCTATGCTTTTAGTGCTGAAATGAAATCCATTACTAAAAAGGGGAACGTTGACATCTTCATATTGTCTTTATATAAAAATAGAAAAAATAAATGTTTTTCTAAAGCTGCCACACATAAGCTAACACATTTATTGCACAGTTGTTGTTACCGTTATCAGAAACTGACAGTTTTTTTAGAAAAATGCCTTTTGTGTGAAACAATAAGGCTTTTTTAGAGCAACCCTTGTTTAGGTCACTGGTTTCCTGCAAGTTTCTATTTTTGATCCTTTCTGATTTAATCCATTCATAACACCCTCACATAACGCATAATGTGTGGTAGCCTCCATCTAGCGAGCTCAGCATGGGTTTAACGCTGATAAACTTTGGTTAATTCTAGGGGTGTAAATAATAATGGTTTTGTATCGATGCATCGATCCAACAGCCGACGATCCGATGCATCGATACGTCCGCAAGAGAATTGATTCATGTTTTTTTTTTTCCCTCAAGTCTATTTTTATCCTGGACGTAATTCTCCCTCCCGTGCTGCGGTGGCGCTAAACCTATTTTGCCCTCCTACCTCGCTTCCTGGTTATACTCGTACAGCAGTTTGTTGCAGTAAGTTTGACACAGACATTTTTGATTTATGCTCAATATTGAAGCGTGGTCTGTGCTGCACGCTGTGGGTCTAGATACGGCCGAGGCGG